ATGGCGATAATGTGATGCTACTATACAGTTCCGTGAGGTGGTAAAACTTGAACAAGAGCTTTCGAAACAAACTCAAAATAAATTATTGCCTTTCCCGAGAAGAAAAAAAAAAAAAAGACAAAAAAACGAAATTTTCTTTTTTTCCTTTTTTCTAAAGCCACTACAAAGTTTTTTTTTTTTTGTTTTTAGAAAGACTTTTTTTTTAAAAAAAAAAAATAAAAAATAATAAAATAACCCGGATTTAATCTCTCCACTTAAAGTGATTGAAACCGTACAATTTGATATCTTTTTTTTTTTTTTTTTTTTTTTTTATCCCGACGGAGAAAAAAATTTTTTTTTTTTCATTCTTTTCAATTTTCTATCGGGATAATTTTTTTTTGTTGCCTTCCTTCTTTCCCCCCCCCATCCCTCCCTCTCCATTCTCCAACCCATCCTCAACCAAACAAATTTTTTTGGAAAAAAAAAAAATTCTTTTCAATGTTCTCTTACAACTTGAATTTCATTTCGGTTTTTTTTTAATAATAATTATTATTATTATCATTATTATTATTATTATTTCTATAGTTTCGTCAAAAAAAATTGCCACCATTTGCGCATGCGCAAAATGCATAAACATCCGTTTTAACGTCGCATAAATAATTAAAAATTTTAAATAATTTTGTTTGTTTTTCGAGTCGTTTTCCATGGATTCGAAGGGAAAAAAAATTGTTTCTATCTCTCTCTCTCTATCTCTCTCTCTCTTTCTGTCTGTTTGTGTTTGTTTTAAGTTATCCGGTGGTTGTAAATTTTATTTTTTAAACAAATTATCAACGTGGATAAAGCACAAAACCCTTTTTCCCTAATAGATTTAATATGGCAGAAACCTTTGCCAAATCAAAATAACCAGACAGACAGACAGACAGACAGACAGGCAGGCAAGCAGGCAGGCAACCTCACTTTCAGCCTGTTTGTTTGTTTCTTTTTTTATTTTATTAAAATTAATAAAATTTTATTAAAAAAAAAAAAAGAAAGAAAATTTTTTTTTTCCAATAAATTTTCCCGTCGTTCAAAATAAATTTTAACGACATTTTTAAAAATTTTCTTTTACTTATTTAAATTTTTATTTATTTAATTTTTTTTTAATCATATCCGGGAATTCCCCCTTATTACGTCATCATTTTTTTGTTATTAAATAGCTGATCCAGAAATTTTTTTTTTTAATGGCTACAATATGGATAACGAGAGTTAAAAAAAAAAGGGGGGGAGGGAAGGGATTAATGTCGATTTTACATTTTGAAAACATTTTTTTTTTTTTTTAACGTGTCATCAAATTAAACGACATGTAAAAAATAATAATAATAATAATGATGATAATAAGTGACAGTTACGTGATTCGTTTGAAATTAGACGTTCGTATATAATAATTTACGAAAAAAAAAAAAAAAA